GGAAAAAAATATGAGAAACTGAAAAAATGGAAATAAAGTGTTTGTAAATGGGGAGGGGAGGAGGGGGTGAAGGGAGGGCAGGGACAAGGGGAAAAATGAGAATCAAGACCTATTATGTAAAGGTAGAGAATCCCAATGATGAATGTAACTGTATTGTATACCTAGATTGTACCAATAAACTCAATTTAAAAAAATTGAAAAAAAAAAAGGAAAAGAAATACAAATGGCTCTTCAACATAGGAACACACTCAACTTTGAGAAACACATTAAACTATATTCGGAGGGCCTAGGATTTAGCTCAGTGGTGCTGTCGCCTGCCTCACAAGCACAAAGACCCAAATTTGATCCTGGTACAAAAAAAAAAAAAAAAAAAAAAAAAAAAAAAAAAAAATTTGGATTTTTTGTCTATCAGAACTAAAGATTTCATCAAAAAGAAAAAATTTAGTAAGGAAAATGTGTAATCAGCTATAATGTATTGTGTCAGAAAACAAAATTTCCTTGGCCACCAGTAGTCTGTATTGTAAGTATGGGGTTTACTTACCCATGGGAATCTGTAGCGTTTCCCTACACGAGAGCTCCTGTGGAAAGGGAAGTCAGACTTCTTCCCCGTTGCCATGTAAGGTAAGTGACACTAGACACTAAGGTTTCTCAGGGCTTTAGTCTTGGATTCACTTGTAAAGGAAGGAAAAAAAAAATCTACCTCACTGAGTTGCAATGAGATGACAGTATTAGTGATGATGGTTTGAAAACAACAGAAACATACTAGTTACTACGGGTCAGGGGTTTCCATAGGGCACTGATGATTTTCACAACAACTTTACACCAACTTTATAAATATGGACGCTGAAGCAAAGAGGGAGCAATCTGTCCAAGGCATATAGGCAAAAAGTGCCCATAGGAGAATTCCAACCCATGCAATGCGTCTATAGTCTATGCCTTAGGTCCAATGCCATTCTGTATACTTAAATATACACTTTTAGGTTCCACTTCTTGTGCCTGTTGATCCCCAGCAACATTTTTTTGTCTTTTCTCCTGTCTCCCCTATGACACTGATTCCTCATGCCCCCTTCTGTAAAGAAAGAGCAGAGGGCTGGGGATTTAGCTCAGTGGTTCTGCTGCCTGCCTTGCAAGGCATAGTCCTGAGTTCAATCCCTGGTACCAAAAATAAAAAACAAAAACTCTTTAAAGAAGCGTTGGGGATTTAGCTCAGTGGTCCCACACGTGCCTCACAAGCACAAGGTCCCGAGTCCGATCCCCGGTACCAAAAAGAAAAGAAAATGTAGAGATGATAAGGGTAAGAGACAAATAGGTTGCAGAAAGAAATGTTTATTGTGAAAAAAGGAAAATCTCTGGGAGATGAAAGAAAATGAACAAGTTCTGAAAGGTGATGGGCAGATTTGCCTGTGTAAACCGAATCTAGGATTCATTCACCTAACAGATCATCTTTAAGATAACACAACTATAAACACACTGCTAATTTGATGGAAAAAGCGCCACCTGAACTTCCCGAAGTACTACAGGCTGACCCATTCGAAATAAGTTGTACTGCCTTCTCCAAAAAGAAAACCACTACTGGCTTATGAAAGTGACAAGATATAACTTCAATAAAGTAAAACAATAAACAATATTACCCCACAAGGGAATTTGATAAAAGAAATATTAAACCAGGAATTCTACCACTGTCAATTACTGTTCCTAGCATATACAATAGGGGATCAAAAAACGTTTGTTGAATGAATTATAAGTTTTATAAAAAATTCAGAGGGCCCAGGATTCAGCTTTGTAGTTTCACCGCCTGACTGCAAGCACAAGGACCTAAGTTCAATCCCCGGTACCAAAAAACAGCAACAACAACAAATTCAGAGCCAAAGCATGTAGGCTGGTATCATCAACATAACTATAAACACAATTTTCTCTAATCCCCTTTTATGCAGGAATAATGGCTAATGTTTATTTTATGTCAGACACTGTTCAAAGTACTTAACATGTGTTTGTGAAACTTCACGTAATCTTAAAAATAATTAATATCTTCATTTTAGAGATAAAGAGTAAAGCCCAAAAAGGTGAAGTAATTTAACCAAGGTTCCTGAATGACAGATCCAAGAGGTCTGGCTCCAGGACTCCGCTCACAACCCTGTGACGTCCTGTTGCACGGAGCGTGAGCGAGCTCGACGTGAGCCCGCCTCTGGGGCTCGGGG